AAAGCCTATCCCTTGTAGGTCTTTCTCCCCATTTCCTCCTACCATCCATCTATCCATTCTGCTTTTCTTGGCTCTCACCAACCCTCCACTCCCCCACACCCTTTCTTTCCCATTACACAAGCAACACCTTCTTCCTGGAATTTGTCTCTCTGCCTGTGTTTCCTCTAGTTGTTCCCTCAGCTTTGCAAAGCACATTCCTACTCACCCGTCAAGCCCCACATCATTCCTCTTCCAGGAAGCATTCCCAGACTACCGCAGTCACAATTAGTCATTTGTTTTCCTATACTTCTGCATGCCAGTATGCACATCTCTCTCATCGTACTTAAGATGCTAATGATAATAATGGCAAATTGTTATTATGGTTTCTGATTGCTTATGATGTGCTAGGTAATATTGTCAGGGCTTAAGATTGCCTTATTCAAACTGGGTGCTGATGGATCATGCCTGTAATTCTAGCTACTCAGCAGTCTGAGATCTGAAGATCAAGCTAGTTCCAAGCTAGCCTGGGCAGTAAAGTCCATGAGACTCTTATCTCCAATTAACTACCAAAAACTGGAAGGAGAGCTATGGGTCAAACTGGTAGAGTGCTAGCCTTGAGCAAAAAATCTCAGGGACAGTGTCTATGCCCTGAGTTTAAGCCCTATGACTATGACTACCACCACTACCACCACCACCACGAACAACAACAACATAAAAGATTGCCTTATTTAATCCTCATAGGAACTCTGAGGAAGGTGCCATTACTACTCTCATTTTATAAGAAATGGCACAGATATTATGTAACCTACTCAAGACCATAGAGTAATCAGAGGCCAATAAATATCTAGAGAAGTCTCTGGAACACAGTAACTGCTCAATAACTATTGACCCCATAAATTACTAAATAAGAGTAAAAATGTAAATAATTATATTTCTATCTTCATTACAGAAAACTCAAGCAAGAAGAACTTCCCATTCATTACTTCTGCCTTCCTATGCATTCAGGGCCTAGTTAATGTGTAAGGTACTGGAAACATGGTTAATGGAAGAATGAACAGAAGAATATGAAATCAAACTGAGAAAAAGCCTGAACTCCAGCACTGCCACCCATTGGCTCCAGCTAAATAGCCTAGATTGTCACCTGTCAATGTGGGTGACAATATACAACATTCTCTTATACAGCTTCTGACCTTTAATGTAAAGGTTTACATAAAAAAATGGCCAAGTCCATGATTTTGTGATCATGGCAACCTCACTCTTATTTATTATAAGTTCTTCTGGGCTGCTTTCCCTGGCCACACCTGGATGTAACACGTGAGCCAGGTGTAATCCTAAGGTAAAGTCAATATCAGTCCTGAAAATATTAATTTGGCTTGATCTTTGGTTCACTCCTGTCTTATCCCAAGTCACACCCAGAGAAAGAATTATTAAGAGCTTGATGAAACTCTCATTAATAGTACTAAATAATAAACAATGAACTCACATTAGATTATGCAAGTGATATCTGAGCCATTGCTCTGGAGATCTTTGAGGTTATTCTGTTTGTCTCCAGGCATCTCTGCCAGAACTCTTCTTCTCTGAATAGATCTTGGTCCCCTATCATCTACAACCACCACATGGATGCATACATGCACACACAAACACAAATACCTGAGCCATTGCTCTGGAGATCTTTGAGGTTATTCTGTTTGTCTTCAGGCATCTCTACCAGAATTCTTTTTCTCTGACTACATCTTGGTCCCCACCACAAGCATACATGCATCGTGTACACGTCCACGCATGCACGCACACACGCACGTGCACACACACACACACACACACACACACACACACACACACACACACACATGATAAATGCTGGTGAAATACTAAAGGCCATGACTTCTTCAGGTGATACGAGATGTGTCTACATCCCTGAAAAGGTAGGGGTCTGGCTGAATTGTTCTCATCTTAACCTATGGCTAACCAAGAGCATGACTCTCTGCCTGGCACCTGTTAGATTACTTGGCTTCACATTTATGATCAGCTATATTTATGCTAATTCCAAGGATGTTTTGTTTATATAATGCTAAGTATAAACCACTACACTAAAAGAAACAAGCAGGAGTGACCAAGAAAGTGTCTTCTACTTGGAAAGAGAGGTAAGACCCCTCTCCTGTGGTTTTAACTTGCAATAAGGAATATAAGTATTAATCATCTACATGTGAATCCAGTATGGGAAGATTTAGCCCATAGCTGGAACAAAAGTAACCAGCTATTGTAGAGGACACCAATCTCTTTTGTGCCTTATCTTGTACCCCACATCCTCTGTGTCAGTCATTTGATGCTTGAAAAAGCAGCTGATCACAGTAACTAATTGGTCCAGAAGTGGACCATTCAAAATACTGCGAGATTTTTTTCTCAATATTAAGCTGGAAGAGAAAGCTCTAGTCTTTTGAGTCATGTAGCTTTGAAAATATGAAGAGGCTACAAATACAAAAGAAGACCTGTCTGTAGGAAAGAGAATAACACCAACACAGAGAAAAATATCCCACAAGAAAGGATGGATCCAATGGGACACATCAAATGTATCTTCTTCTACTTAGTACCTGGGTAGGTTTTATGAGCTAGACTATCACACATTTAAAAGGCATAAAAACTTTTGAACAAACCCCACTCTTACCTATCATCACTAACAAAAGATATTTTCTTTCTCTTTGTTTCTCAGGTGCCAACAATGTCCTACCAACCACAAGATGTGAAGACTGTTACTTCAAGCTTAGCTTGTAAAGTAAGGACTGGTCAGACAAGCCAGGCAAACCACCTGGCTGGTGACTTTTGAAACAAGAACATCTTCATAGTGGCCAGCCTTCACTCATCGCCCTGCTGGATGACTCACTTTCTGATCACCAACAAAGACCTATGACAGTCACAGAGTACTGAATGAGTGGGGCGATGGCATCTTCTAATAAAATAGTTCTGGAAGCCAGGTGCTAGTGCCTCATGACTATAATCCTAGCTACTCAGGAGAATGAGATACAGAGGATCACTGTTTAAAGCAAGCCCTATTGGAAAAGTTCTGGAGACCCTGTCTTCAAAATAGCTAGCAAAAAGCTGAACTAGACATATGGCTTAAGTGGTCAAATGCCAGTTGTGAGCAAGCAAGCTGAGTACAAAGGCCTGAGTTCAAACCCTAGTATTGTCAAAACAGAACAGCAAAACTAAACTGAAAAACAGTTCTGCAACTCTCTGGAGAGAGCAGCATGGATCCAGGCCACCTAACTTATTTCTATGGGACTTCTATATGTTATTTATTTGAGGGACTGTATTTGAGTATGTGGACTCATTAAAAAAAAGAAAAGCTACCATAAACAACGACTGGGAAGGGTAATTCTGATAACGAAGAGCTTTGCTTCCTCTACCTCTGAGACCTACTCAGTGAGATATGAATCATGGAGTTATGACTTAGAAGATAGACGTGGAAGGAATGGCACCCAAGACACACGTCTCCCCCTTTCCCTCAGGAAGACCCTCAGGTCTTCCTCAGGCTACAAGGCATCCGTTTATGGGCAGGCACTGATGGATGGTTCGTGTGCTCTTAGAATTCTCTTCCTATGTCCCATTCAGTCTGCACCTTCAGTCCATAAGGAGCTCAGCAGCTGTTTCCCTAGGGCAATGCAAAGCAGCCATATCCCACAGTAGACTCAGCAGCTCCTCATAACCAAAACAAAAACACAACAGGCCTGATTGCCATGGAGAGTTCAATCCTCTTGTCCTGGGATTGGCACTGACTGGAATTCCAAGGGCTCTAGCTGAGCTACCTCCTGAGAGGTCTAAATACAGTACATTCATTCTTAACCTAAACATACAGCCTGGACCAGTGCCCAGGCTGACAGCCCCTTGGGGCCAGCAGCAAGTCTTGGCTTCTAGCTGTCTGTTGGGTGGTGGCATTTCAGAGATTGTGATGCTCTGCTTGGCGAGTGTTCATTGGTGCTGCCTGAGGCTGGACTATGGGGGATACAAACAGCTTGTGTAGGGTTAACTCCAAATGTACTTCTGAGTAAGGAAATGCATCTTGGAGAAAGGGCAGGCAAATGGAGAATGTCAAGGTGTCAGGAGGAAAAGATAAAAGAGAAAGGAAAAGAAATTAAGAATGAAAGACCTCCTTCTTAGACAATGAATTAAAAAAAATCAGAGGATCTTTCTAAAAACTTTGTTTGCAGAGAAGCACAACTCTGTAATTATGTCTCTCTAAGGGACTTTGGGATTAAGCCCGGGAATTAGATAGATCAAAGTTATCTTCTAGTTCTCAAATGGCCCAAAGGGTGACTGCAGCTATTAATCAGATCATGGACATAAAGTGCTTAGCCTGTAGAAGCTGCATGATAAACAAAGGCAACTGGAGGTACAATTTGAATAGGAATAGAAATAGAACAATGGCAAGTATTCACTTGACACCCTCCACCTTGCCTTCGGTTTTCCTTCTTGGAAAGGGCACAAGAATGGTGACTGAGGCTGGGTGTGGTGGCTTAAATCTGTACTCTTAGTTACATAGAAGACTGAGTTTGGCTGGATGGTGGTTCAAGGCCAGTGTGAGCAGAAAGTCTTATGAGACCTCTTCTCAACTGATAGCAGGGCACCATAGTATGCATCTGTAATCCTAGATTTGGTGGGAAGCTTAAAATAGGCAGATCACTCTCTAGGCACATTACATAGGCAAGAGGCAAGAACCTATCTCAAGTATAACTAGACAAAGAAAGAGCTGGAGTTGTGGCTCAGTGGTAAAGCACCTGCCTCTAGGCCCTGAATTCAAACCCTGGTATCATTAACTAATTTTTTAAAAAGAAGCATGGCTGAGGCTGCCACAATGAGCTATCCTAGCCTGGATACTTGGAGCATGTATAGACAAGGAAAACTTTCAATAGAGAACAGTACAAAGCTTATCTAAGAACCTTAAACTAGCAAAATAAAAACAGTTCCCTAATTCCCCGTGTCACCCCAATTACATGAAAGTGAGAAATGTCTGGGAGGGTTTCCCTTACCTTGGTATTCACACATGACTTCCCTCGCTTGTATTCTTTGTGGGAGCCACGCTTGTCCAGTTTGTACCACAAGGCTTTGGCCTTCCAGGTGGTCACACTGGACTTGAGCTTGGAGTAAAAGTTTCTGTGGTCCAGAGGGTCTAGGTCTAGGAGGCGTGTGAGCATGTTGAAGGCTTGGAGGGTGCCTTTGCATGTGGATGCCTGGACAAAGTTCTCAAAGACATGGCCCACATGGGTCTGCTTCTCATCCTCATTCTCCCCCATGGTTCAGGAGCTGCCTGGAGCAGTGGCGTGGAGAGGGCAGAGGTGATCACCATGAAGCACCTGGAGAAGCGTTACACCTGCAAAGGTAAGTGGAGACAGAGGTGAGCCTCATGGGAGATGTGGGGGAGGGAGGAGGGGTACTGAGAGGAAAAATGAAATTCCATTAAGAGAGTAAAATGCTGATGTTAGTTTTTAGTACTTAACACTAAACCTAGACCATCTTTGGAAAATGTTCAATTGTACCTTCCAACCTGGCACGATGCCTTTGCTGGCAATCTTTCTCTCACTGCCCACTCTTCTCCCTAGCTGTAAAAATCACAGATTGTTCAAAGCTATATATACCTCTGCTAATGTCAACAGGACCCAGTCAGTTGTGCTAGAAGCCAGATGGCTCCGGAAATGGTGACTAATAAAAAGAATAGGCCTGCAAAGTACACCAGACTGAGCATCACTGAAAGTCCACCATTCTTGGTGCTGCAAGTTGATTTGTGAATATGACACAGGAACATCATATTAGGGCATAATAAAAATCTCAAAGCATGTCATCTCCTCTATCCTTAGACTGACCATTGAAAGTTTTTCTTCACTCATTACCAAGGACAGAACTTTTTCCCACATGGGTGACACATGGCCCTCACTTCATTCCAATAGGCAAAAGGAGGCCATGCTTGGTAAGGCCAGGCTGGGAGCTGTTTGCAACAAGTGCACAAGCTGAAGGGAAAAAACGAAGTTATGGGTGTTCATTCACATCACAAAAATAGCTCTCCCGGGTTTTGGCCATGATCCTTTCTTTCTGTACCACTCTAACCTCAGGCATTTCTTATGAAAGTCATTTCAGTTTCAAAGGAAGAAAAATAAAGTAGAGCTGATTTTTCCAAAGCATTGGCTATTTTTTTCCTGAGTGCAAAGCTAGTGCACCAAGACCAGTGTGGAGGAGCTGAGGTTGGTCCAGCTGTCAGGAGGACTGAGGGGGTCTGTAAACAGGAGGGCTCAGCAGGGGAAACTCCCCAACAAGGCCCTCAGGCAGCTGCATGCTCTCCAATTGCAAACGTTTATTGAGGACACATTTTGGGTTTGTAATCCTAAAAGCAGAGACTGGTGTTATTGTTTTTACCAGTATTGGGGCTCCAACTCAGGGTCTGGGTACTGTACCTTAACTTTTTTTGCTCATGTCTGGCGTTTTAACCGGAGAGAAAAGTCTCATGGTCTTTTTAGCTACGGCTAGCTTCAAACAGAGATCCTCAGATCTCAGCCTCCTGAGTAGCTAGAAGTATATACGTGAGCCACCAGCACCCAACTCTAATTTCATACTCACTCAACAACAACTAACTCTCCTTTGGTAAGTGTTAGGAATCACTAGATGCTGGAGGTGAAGAGATGGCAAGTCATAGTGAGGAAGACAGAAGAGTAGAGCTGAAATCAGGCAAGAGAGAAGCATTCTGGAATGGGAACAGTAAAGTAAGTATAGATGGGATGCAGAACAGCAGGTGGCCAACAGAGTCTCAAGGAAGCCAGAAGGGCCCCAAAAGAAAAATTGCAAACCAAACTTCAGTTCTAGAGGTGAGGGAAACTTCATTACAAAACTGGGGAGTGGACACTCCAGGCCAAGGAGGCACCCTACAGAGGCACACCACTGGAAAAAGAACAGCTACAGAGTCACTGCAAGTTCAAGGGGTCAGTGGTTAAGGACTCCTGAGAAGATGTTCATGGGATGGGATGAGGGTGATGTCCAGAGCAGACTGTGGTGTGTGTCCCCTCTAGGCCACATGGCCCTTCCCTAGTTGCTCTGCCTGGCTTGGAGGAGACAGATTCCCTCATGGATGTGCTTGGCTTCTCTCACGTTCATGGCACTGGCTCTGGCATCCTTCACATAAACACTGCTGCTTCTAGGGTCTCAACTTCCTCCCACGTGCCATACTTGCCACCCAGAAAGCATAAACGGAAAGCAGGACCCAGTTGTTTTGCAAGGCCTATTAACATTCCCAGACTTTATCTATCTTTGGAAGTACTTTGGTGCCAGCATTGAACACAGGGTGCAGTAGCTCGAGAACAAATATAAAGCTACTGGGATTTCACTGAGGATGTGCAGGTGACTTTCAGTACTTAGCCCCTTTCTTCCTCTGTAGGTTTCCAATAAGTCACATAAACACCAAGCAGTCTGCTGAGAGGAGGAGGAGAAGGAAGCCTGGATAATGGTGGATCCTGGCCTGGGAGGCACAGCAGCCTGATCCATCCTACAGGCAGATTGTGCCTGGGAATGCAACAGATGGAAAAAAAAATTCAATTTTGCAAATCAGTTGGCTAAATTCTCTAGATTGCCAACTCTTCCTTGTCTAAAATTGCACAGGGTTTGGAGGTAAGAAGGTAGTTCTGACTCCCAGACAATAATTTACAAACTAGAAGAACTTGTCTCCTCCCTCTAAGGAAAAATGAACCACTTAATCTTATGGCTCCAGTGGAAAAGGAGCCAAATGTGGTGCTGAGGGCCTGTGGTGTGGGTGTGGGAGCTCCAGGAACTAGCTCTTATCTCTGGTGTGATAAGGGAAGGTGGAGGGAGATGGCCAGACAGGAGATAAGCCAGCCTTGGACATGCAACCCCCTATCACCATGGCTGGCAGTACCAGGCTCAGACCTGTCTCCCTACCTCTAAAATGTAAAAGTCTCAGCCTTTAAAACTGGCCTAGCAGTTTAAGTCAAAGATCTTAAAGATGACATTAACACCCAGGCTGGGCAGTGTTCTTCATTGGACAACATCAGAATACTCAGTCAAATTGACTTGACATGACCATAGGCAAGTTATCTCATCTGCCTCAGTCTCAGTTTTTCTCATCTGTAGATGGGAACAATAGCACTCCTTTCACAGGATGGTAAAGAATAAATGATCTGATGTGTTTAGCACTCAAGATCTATATTACTGTTCTTCCAATGGCCCAAATGTCACCCAAGCAAAGAAGGTGAGAAAGGAAACTAATTCATGACTGATTGTTTACACTAGCTTCCCAAAGGGCAGGGCCTGTTGTTCAGTGGCAGAACACTTACCTAGTAGCAATTCAAAGCTCTGGGTTCAATTCTCAGCACCATAAACAAAAGCTAAAACAAAAAAAATTGTACTAGACTAGCTTCCAGGTCAATTACATACCTTAATACTACAGAGCACAGACTTTCAATTCACTAGACCTGGATTCAAACTCACTTCTTAGTCCTGTAACCTTGGATAAATTATTAAACTTCTGAATTTCAAGAAGCACATATGTCAAGTGGAAATCCTACAGAGTAGTTTTGGTGGTGAGTGGAGATACACAGGTACAGAGTAATGTTGGTAATGAACTGGGAAGGGCCAGTCTAGCACTCACAAGAGTACAGTGAGTCCAAATTTCAGGTCTCTACTTCCCAAGAACTTTGGGTGCATTACCCTTTGTGAGCAGGCTTCAAGAGGTACAAGTAAGAGGTTCAAATGTGTTAAATCTAAGGATGCTGGGTGGCTAGCTCTTGGTAAAGCCTGCCTCTTTAACTACCACCCAGCTGCCTTTTTGGTTTGACATGTGATAGAAATAGAAGTAACTAGCTGGAAATATGAAAGGTTCTGTGTTTTCTGGGAAGAGACAAGATGTGATGCTCTTGTTTCCAAGAATAGCCTTGAAGCAGCTTGGGTTTTGCCCAACCAGAGTCCCTTATTTGTGGTTCTTCTGCTCCCTTGCCGATGTGACTTCATGAGTCACAAAGCTGTTCCCTTCCCCTGCCTCTGGCCACTGCATATAAACACTTGGGGCCTCAGACTTCAGGTGACAGCATTGGTAATGAACTCATCCCATAACAACTGGAAGCCAAGGTCAAGGTCTGTGCAGAGTCCCAAGACCCCTTTCAAAGTGACAGATGAGGTCTCATGAACCCCATTCTGCCTGTGCACACTCACATTTAGGACTTTTATTCCTTCTGTCTCTCACTTGCAATAACAGCAAACCATGTGATCAGGCCTTGAAAAAATGGTGGCATTCATAGGAATTCAAGGAGGCCTGGAAAAGATACTGCACAGAGCTAATCCACAAGGTAGTCATTTGGCCCAGGAGAAAACCTCAACCTTCAACCTCATCCTCAAGGCCCCAGAAAAGTTTCAAGGTCAGTGCAACCTAAGAACAAAATCTTGATGTTATTTTATAGTGCCAAGCTATCCAAGCCTACCATTTCCCTGTCTACCTCACCAAGGAGGCATGGGGCAGACTCATCAAGGACTTGGGGTGTTTGCCCTCTGTACTTGCAGGGGATAGGATGCACTAAGAGCTCCAGTCTGAGCCTCACACATAGGCAACACTTAGTTGTGGCAACCTAAACGCAACCTATGGTGGTGGCTACATCTCTGAAGTGCCCAACATGTGCAGGAACACCTGTTCACTGAGGCCTTGCAGACCCAACAGGGCTCAGTTTCCCATTTAACTGTTCATCAGGACACTACACAGATGATTGAACAACAACAACAACAAAAAGCAACTCCACAGTTGGGAAGGGACAGAAAGGGCCACCACATCCCGTGTGTGCTCTCTTTCTGGCCAGATGCCTTCAGCCATCTCTTGGTTATCTCCATGATGCAGTATACATTGACTCCTGGCACATCCTGATATCTGCCTGGTGAAAATCAGCCTCAAGAAGTCTTAATGGGAGCAAGGGAGAGAAGAAAAGAGGGGATCCGTGAGGGAAGGAGGGTGTCTGCTTCTCCAAGGGTCTCTCTGCTGCTTGGTCTTGTCCTTGAGATCACCTATGGCAAGTGGAAGCCTTCTCCTGCAGGATGAACCCATATATGCACAACCTTCTCACCTGTGCCTTTACTGCAGAAAGTCTAATAAGGGTCTGGCTACAGCAGAGCCAGGATACTGTCACCTAAGTGCCCCAGGCAGAGGCATTAGACCTTCTTTGAGAGCCCATATCCATTTGCCTCTGCCCTTCCAGCCCTGTTCACCTTCTCCATTCTTCAATGGTTTGCAGACATCACTTGTCTGGCTTGAAGTGCCCTCATGCTTCCCCACTTCCTAGCCTCCATCCACTTCCTTTTGGAAGCCATGCATAGAGCCATGTAGTTGGATGA